GTGCCATGGCAATGGCAATCTGGAAGTTCTGGTTTGCCAAAGAATCTGACACCCTAATAAGATCTTGAGTTCAGAGATCAAAATTTGAATCCCCTTGGTTTGGTTGTGCAAAGCTTAGTGAATGGGGAGGGATCCTTCCTTTTGTTGGATATGTTTTATTTCCCATCTGTTCGATGCTATTGCATTATCATTGGCATTCTAATGGCAGAGTTCTTTAATTTGAACAAAATTATTGAATCCTAATGGACCCAGTTCTGACCTAAGCCTCAGGTTGGCGACCTTACATAGTTCATTCATTCTCTGTGTCTCAGTTTTTCCTACCTAAAAAGGGGGTAATTATTACTCCTCATTTCACAGAGATATTATTTTGGTGTTGTAGGAATAAGGTTTGAATTTGTAGAAAGACAGTGGATTTCAGAAAGGCCTCCCCCCTCCACCCCTGCCCTTCCCCCACCCTGCAAGTGATGTAGCCTCTCTGAGCCTCAGTTCCCTCATCTATAAAATGGGGCCAGGAAATTGCTCAAAGGGGTAGTGTGAGCATTAAATGAGACCCGGTGGAAATCACCTTGCATTAATCCCTGCCTGTTTTAAGGGCTCAACAGATGTTAGCTGTTGGTGATGATCATGATGAGGATGTTTTTAAATCATTGCTGTCACTAACCAGAGGTGAGTTCGTTGCTTTGGGTACCCTACTTGAGTCTTATGCTGTCTCATTAAAGGGGCGTCTGCTTTAGACTCAAGGTAGTTGAAACCATTTAGCTTGAGGCTAATGGAAGGGCCTGTAAGATTTAGAATAATGTATGGAGATGTAACCAGAGAATGAAGTCTTGTTCCTTTGACCTACAAATGCTAAACTCTCAGAATATACCACCAACCAGGCTTCCTCTGGCTTTAATATGCACATAAATTCCCTGGAGATCTTGTTAAAATGCAAATTATGACTCAGTACTTGGGGTGGGGGTGGGTGCTGGGATTGCACATTTCTAATGAGTTCCCAGGTGAGGGCAATGCTCCAGGTTTTGAGCAGCAAGGCGGTAGAGTAGATAGATAGTAGAGCTGTGATCCCGATGTTTGTACAGTCCACGTTTTATCATCCAATTATTATTTTCCTATCAACTTGCATTAAACCTTAACAAATTTGATTTTCACTTTCCATCTTAAATTGGCCCAACTCTTGCTACCTTCCTGCCCCTGGCCTCTCTAATACTTAAATAATATATATTTTTTTTGAAAAAAAGGAAGAGAATGATAACAACAATGAGCTAATATTTATATAGGGGTTACTATATACCAGGAACTGTTTACTTCTCACAACGTCCCATGTAGGTACCATAATTACCCCCATCTTACAGGTGAGAAAACTAAGTCACATGCAGATAAAATAACTTACATCACTCAGCTAGTGAGTGGTAAACCAAGACCATTTTAGAAGTTTATTTAAAAGAGCCATTTGGGCAGGGCGTGATGGCTCACGACTGTAATCCTAGCCCTCTGGGTGGCCGAGGCGGGTGGATCTTTTGAGCTCAGGAGTTAGAGACCAGCCTGAGCAAGAGCGAGACCCTGTCTCTACTAAAAATAGAAAGAAATTAATTGGCCAACTGAAAATATATAGAAAAAATTGGCCGGGCATGGTGGCCCATGCCTGTAGTCCCAGCTACTCGGGAGGCTGAGGCAGGAGGATCGCTTGAGCCCAGGAGTTTGAGGTTGCTGTGAGCTAGGCTGATGCCATGCCACTCACTCTAGCCCAGGCAACAGAGTGAGACTCTGTCTCAAAAAAAAAAAAAAAGAGCTTTTTGTGAATGAGAGACCCCAGGGATAGCTGGAATATTCCATCTCGTTTAGCATTGTTTGTTATTCCCATTTTGTTTTTTATCACATTTTACAAAATGTAGAGCCTCCTTCGCAGGGGCCGGTGACTGTGACATTCATCCAGAATGCAATCTGAGGTGACTGCAGCAGTGAGGTCCTCAGGGATGATTCCTCAGGGTGGCACCCCACAGCTCAGCTGTGGTCTGCTCAGCAACACACTTTAAGAGTGAAGCCTGGAAAAGTGAAAGTCACAGCAAGCAGATAGATCCTGTAGTGTCCACATCCTTTCCACCTGCTTCCTTCCGAATTTGAGTATAAATCCAATTCTTATCAAATGTCATTTTCTATTGATTTAAATTAAACTTCAGAACGCAGGGCTCTTGCTACTGTTCTGCCTCTCTGTCTAGTACTTTAAACATGTTTAAAATAATAACAGCAACAACCACCACACCTGCAAACCTGCACTTGTGTAGCTGTGGACTCTGCTGGGAAGAGCTGTAGTGGATAGAGCTGACCACAAGAGGTGAGGACAGGGGACATGTCCTTCATGGGGGCTACTTGGTGATTTGGGGAGAGCGAGTGCACTGGAGCATGTGGCTCGAAGCCAGTGGCTGGTCTAACCCTGCCCTGGCCACTCACTTGCTCTGGGACCTGGGACTAGTCAGTCACACTCACTTACTGGCTGTCATTTTCCTCTCTAGAATGAGAGGATTGGATAGGATGGGAATTTTGCAAAGTGTGTGTTTACTTTTAGCTATGGAACCCTTTCTTCAATTGAAGGCTCATCTCGAAGCCCAGAAAATAAAGCACAAGAGCTGAAATTTCTCTGGTGGAAGTTGGGGTGAAGCCCAGAACCAAAACTTCTCCCCTAGTCCATGACCAATCCCTGAGCAGCCTCCACCTTCTGTCTGTTAGCTAGAGACCTTCTTTCTGTCTGTTAGCTAGAGACCAAGGGTCTAGATGACAGAAAGGTTCCTTCCAGCTCCTGCACTGCCTATGCCTCCATGGAATACAACATGGGGTATTAGAAGGCTGTAGTTTGGGAGAAGTATTTGAAAGCAGTTTTGCCCTTGACCCTGGTGGTGGCCAGTTATTAGGAATCCCAAAAAGATTCATGAAGGCATCCTCAGTGTTGGCTTATTCGGCAAGGTTTAAATGCATGTTGGTTTTTGCTCTATTATTAAAACATGCCTTCTCCTCTTGAATTTAGACTTTTGTGACTGGAATTTTTTTGGTTTAGGGGAGGGAGGAGTGGTTTGGGGGGGGGAATGTGGAAGATCATTGCAAGTAGAAAGATTTTTTTGTGTATTTTGTTTTCTGGATTTTTGATAGTTGTATAAAGTTGTGATGCATACTGGTACAGACTAGCCCAATTTCCTTTGCTGAAGTAAGTGATCTTCTTGGAAGAGACAAAAGTTGAAAACAGACAGAGACAAGAAGACATTAAGAGTTTCAGAAATCAACAGGAAAGTCTTTGGAATAATTAGTTTGGTTGAGACCATAAATAAAATGGTTGTTTTTGTTGGAGATGAGGTATGAATGTTGTACTGTGAGCAAATTGTTAATTAGGCAGGGGAATCCAGAATGTTAAATTAAATTTAAAGTCCCCCGAAAACTGGAGAGTTGAATTGAAGTCAGTGGTGTGGAGTAGCATTCTCGTGCTCATTAAAATGTGGCATATGTTCTCTTCCCACCAATGTTGAATGCAGCTTCCAAGGAGAAGGTGACAGAGCAGCTTGGTAGTGAGACACACTCAGTAAAAGACGCAGGAGAGAGAAAATGACTTAGTAACATTTCCAGGGCAGGTACTTGTCTTCTAGGTGTATGTTCTGTTTTCATTCCCTCCAACAACAAAAAATTCTGCATTAAATATAGCCCTGTATGTATAGCACAGTCAATAAGTATCTTTTTTCATTCTCTGGGAGTGAAGCTACATGTGGAATATTTTGCAATTGCTGTAGTCATATATCACTCATAGGCCAAATGAAAATGGTGGTTAATGTGGAAGTTATAAGAATCCACACGATGGTAAGGCATTATGATTTAACCAAATATTTGATCCTTTACAGTGAAAGAAAGGCAGAATCTCCCTGTGCTGTAATAATTTGTTTCCTTTCAGACTTCATCATTACAACTTTTTCAAAGGCACCAAAAGATTGGAGCCCAATTTCTACAGCTTATTTATGTCAACTGGGTCACTGAAGAGAAATGCCTGCTATTTTCTGGGAATACAGAATGCATTTTAATCCCCTCTAACCCAGCAGGCTGAGAGGCAGGGAGTGAGAGGCAATACAGAGGAAAGTGATAAAAGGAAAAGAGAGACATAGAAAGTTCATCACTATAAACTTTGTAGCTGTGTTTGCAAATGTAGAAAGTGTCTTATGGCAACTGCTAAGTGCATTTTGCTTCTAATTATTCCCTCTTCATATGAAAAGGTTCATGGAAACAACAGCATTGGATATTGGTTAGTGGGCATCCACGTGGATTCTTTCAGCAGAACTAGATGGGGAAGGCTTTGAGAATGTCAAGATGCGGCCATTGATCACATCTCACTACAGCCCACATACAGACCAGAGTTCAAATCCCTCCTCTTCCACATATAAGCTGTGACTCTGAAAAAAATTACTTTCTCTCCATGCTTAGTTTTCTCATCTGCTAAAGAAGGATTAGTAATAGCCCTTACCTCTGAAGGTGGTTATAAGGAATAATTGAGAGATACATGTAAGAAATGCTTTAGACTTTTTGTAAGAAGCATAAACAGCCTTTGGGTGTATGGTAACTTTTTGTACTGCTAACCTCATGTTTTGTATCACCCTACCATTACTTCAGTCATGGAAATGGCTTTGGCATTCTTTCTGATTTAATGATTCACCTTGAACTGTTTTGATACTCTTGAGAGGTTTAGCATCCTGGGCATGGTCTCTGATTCTGGCTGCTTGTGTCCAAACACCAGCTGTATTCCTTGTTAGTAGAATGACATTGGGCGGTTTCTTTAATTTCTTTTTCAGTTGCCTCATCTTTAAAATAGAGACGATGATGGTACCTGCATCAGAGGGTTATAAGAAATCAATGAGGAAGTGCCTATAGTCCCAGCTTCTCGGGAGGCTGAGGTGGGAGGATTGCTTGAGCCCAGGAGTTTGAGTTCAGCCGGGGCAACATAGTAAGACCCCCATCTCCAAAAATAAAACAAGAAAGAAAGAAAATAATAATAATAATAAAAACTCAGTGAGGGGATCTTTGTTCAATGCCTGCAGAGAGTTAGCTCTCAGTAAATGTGAGTTATGAAACTGAGATATATAGTGACCTTATATAATAGGAGTTGATCATATCTTAGAAAATTCCATAAAATTTCATTTTCAGTCACAAAAATAATTTCATGGGATCTACCTGGAAGTCATAAGCATAAACTGGGTCTAGTAGCACAGAGATAGTTGTATGCTATAAAGACCAATTCTAGGTTAAGCTTTCTGTTTAAGCGTGTGGTAAACTGCAAGCTCCTTTTAGTTCTCGAAACTAATATCTTCAACGAAGTCATAAGCTGAGCTTGGGTTGGGACCAATGATCTGGTCTTATAATGGAATATCATAGGAACACAGGTTCAAGACAAATGGCCAATCAGCACTTAACTTTTGTCCTGTGCCTTTCTAGATAAGGTCTAGAAGATTCTTTTTCCTTATTGAATATGACCTTTGAATAAATCTAGTTTTTATCTTTCCCAGTGGAATCATTTTTCATACAGAATTCAATTTGCTTCAAATTTCTGTCTTTTCTGCTTAGGTTAAAAGATGAGGCCAGGGCTCTGTGAATGTTTTGTTGCTGATATCTGCTATTTTTCACTCTCAGCTCCATCATAAATTACATTACGGTAGGCTTTGTCTTCTACTCCATAATTGAAAAGCAGGCCTAAGCCAGGTCTTTTTAACACAATCTGTCATAAAGTATGCTGTTTGCCCAAGAACACAGGAGCATCTATGTTACAAGGGCATGATAGCATCACTACAGGTCATACCTTAATTGCAGACAGAGCCAGGCATGCCGGCCCATCCTCGCCATTCAAAATGTCACTGGGCAGAAGAATTGTCCTGTTTGTGTCACAGCCTTACCAGAGTCGTTGCCCACTGCTCAAGAGAAAGCCAATACACTGAGACAGCAGGGGTTATAGCAAAAAAGAGTTTAATATCACAGGTGCCATACGAGGAGACGGAATGAAGTTCTCAATCCGTCTCCTCAAGAGTTTGGAGGAAAGGGTTTTTGAAGATAGTTTGGCGGGCAAAGGGGTAGGCAGTTGGGTCTGCTGACTGGCTGGGTTCTGGGCCGAACCATAGGGGTGAAGAAATTGCCTTATTTTGCTGAGTCATTTCCTGGATGGGGGCTGGTTAAGACCAGTTAAGTTAGTTCCTTGTTATGGGTCACTGGTCTGGGTGGGTCAGCCATTCTGCCTGGAAGATATCTCCAAAAGTAGCCTTAGGTTTCACAAGGGTGATGTTATCTATGGGATTAATTAAGAAAGTTAAGAATCTTTATGACCCTGAGCTATGTGACTCCTGAGCAGCAGGGAAAGCAAAGGAAGGGACACTGGCTGGTTATATGTATGTATTTTAACTATGCCTGTTCCTTTGGAGAGTTGAGGCCACTACCACAGTTCCCACCTTGTGGCCCTTTATTCATTTTATAAAGAGTAATTTCCCTTGAACATTCTATGTGGGCTTGGACAAGTCCCTAAATTCTTCTGGCTTTAAGACTTCCTATCTTTGAACTATGATATAAATTATCTCTAAAACCCCTTCTAACTCTCTCCTTTCTTTCAGCAGTGTTTTCCAAACTCTGTTTCTTGGAAAGTTAATAGTTGTGTTCAGCAAGGGGGGTTCTCTGGTCAAATAAATTTAGGAAATGCTTCTTACCCTATTCATCTCTTAGTTACAGGCGCACCTGCATATTAATACATATTAAGTCCATATTTAAGAAACCTGCTTAACAATGCTTCATCAAGCATTTCTCAAATACAGGTGAATATGCAATTTTAAGCATTTTTATTCATTAGTTTTACTAACTGACAGTCACTTTCTTGTGAAGAGTTTTAGGAAAGAGTTTTAGGTTTGGGAAAGACTTCTGCTCTGGGTTTCTAAGATGACTGAGTTATATAAGGTAAGGGACACACAGCAGTGCCCCTGATTTTAAAATGACACTGTATAAGCATGATTTCTATTGAATTGGAAAATGGTTGTGCATTTTAAACCTTTTTTAAGCAGTTGGTTTCTTGAGTCTAATAAATCGCCAACCAAATTATCTCTGGTTCAATTAACAGAAGTCAAATTTGGAGGACTATGATTAGGATGGAATTACTTTCTTGGTTAACTGTTCAAAAAGTAAAAGTTTCAATATGAGATTGGCTATTTCTCTTCCATCCCCGGGCCTGCCTCGTGAAAGGCAAGAAACCCATGCAACGCAAGTTGCGTTTAAGCTAGACCCCTATTTTAACCTCAAAATAGCTACAGCACTACACTTGTTTCCTTCTTCCCCCTTTCATTTAGAATCAAATAGGAATAATAATTTGATATTTAGGGGAGTAGGAAAAACTAACCTCTGTTACATTTTAAATGAAGGCTAACAAGAATAAAAAATGCAACTATCGGAGACTTCTATTCCATCCTTACGGTAAAAAATCCCAAGATACTAACAACAACAACAACAACAAAAATCATTTGGGCTGAAATATGGAATCAATGTCATGAGAATGCTAGGCATTAGGCATCATCAGATTTCAATAAATGCGACTGGCCTTTTGGCAGCAGCTAACCTGTGACAGTTATGCAAGTGGCAAGCGTTTTATCAAGGCGTGATCCAGTTGCGATTCTGTGTCTGGCGCCTGGTGCTGCAGCCAAGTCAGGGGGACGTTATCAGAGTCCCCAAGTTCCAGGCAGTGGTGTGGAGGAGGGGCAGGGAGTGCAGCGTGATCCATGAGGATGGCCACTCACCAGAGCCATTTCCAAATGAAACAAAAAGGCCACAGAGATGGGGAAAAGAGTAAGCCGGGAATCTTCACTTAATCAAACTTTGGATTTACCAATGTGTTTCAAATAGCCCTTTTTGCCCAGTGGATAGATTATAGGCCTTAATCTTGATATCTCATAATGGGTGCTGGGGGTTCCACCTTTATTAGAGGAATTAATTGTTTTATCCTTATACTTAATTATGCCAATTTCCTTCTGTCTCTTAGTCAATGCATGCATCTGATGCTGAGGTTATTTGTCCTAAGTGTCTTTTCCCATTTAAATTGTGTCTTTATAACTGTTCCAATATGCAAAATCCCTGGTGTTCAAAAATAACTGGGAGAAAAGTTGGATTGTGGGTGGTGGATAATCCAGTCCAACATCAGGGCATTACTGACTCATGGAAAAAAATGCCTCTTTCCTGAGTCTTTCCTGGTGAGGTCATTGTTTTCAGACAGTGTGTACCTAATATAAAAAAATGCTCAAAGTCCATGCTTCATTTCAAACCAGTGCTTTGTCAGGAAACTGTTTCTAAAGCCATAATGAATAACCAGGCTGGTAGTAAAAAAAAAGCCTCTTTGAGTTATAGTAGGTTTTTTTTTTTGGAATCCTAGTATTTAAAAAAATAATAAAAAGCCCATCTGGTGGAGATGGTAATTCATTAAGGAAAAAGGAGGCAGAAGGCTTGGGAAAATCAATCATTTTCTTTCTTAGTTTCATGCATTTGGATTTCTGTGAAATGACAGTGACCAAAATCTGGATTCTGGATTGTGCAGAGTGGAGGAAAACCTTGGGAACATTCTTGGCGTGTTTTAATCGCGGCTTTCCAGAAAGATGGTTTTCTGCGGGTGTGGCGTCAGGGAGCTGATGGACGTGCTCTTACAAGTGGTTGTTCGAAGGGGCAGGAGAGACAGGGTGGGGAGAAGAAGGGCATGAGGACTCTGTGCGTGAGGAAGGAGCTAGACTCACTCAGGAAACTCCTCATTCTTCCTGAGCCGGCCGGCACACCCAGAGGGGGGCACACCCCTCCCTTGAGTCCAGTTCAGCCCACAAGCTCCTGGGGAGGAGAGCCAGGGCCCCAGCCTCTCCTTTGGGGAGCAGAGGCAGTCCTTCTGTGTGCCAGCCGCCTAGGGAAGAACAGCGGAAACCTTAGAGCTTTGTGCATGTTAATGACCTTGGCAATGACTGAGCTTGCGGACCCTCATCACAGCGTTGGAGACTGCAAAGGTTTGACTGTCCATTTTGTAAACTCAGCATATAGACTGTCTGGGGTGGACCATGTTTTTAAAGATGAAGAAAGGTGCAGAACTTTTCCATTTGATAAAATAGCTTTACACTTATAATATGCTAACACAATAGATAATCTATTTATGTGCATAATATATATTTGTATACAATGCACATCTTATATACCAACATATTTACAGATATATCATTCACATAATGGGATGTTAAAATTGACTATAACTGTTTTGTAGCCCAAGCCCAGCTCAATTTAACCAATAGGAGGTTGATCTCTTGGGCAATTTAAAAGGTATCCTTGGGGACTGTGGGCAAACACCTGCGATACCATTTCTGGGTATTTTGTTTGAGTTTGGATGCCATCCCTAGAATGCTCCCCCTACAGTTGGGTTTTATGGGTGAGCTTGTGGGAAGCTGGCTTCAGGAGCATCCCTGCCTATCCTGCCAGCATCCCCAGGGGCTGACAGCTGACACCACATCCAACAGACTGCTCCAGAGGGCGGCCTGACAAAATCTTGCAGGCTGCTCCATTGAAACCAGCAGACTGTGGCGATCGGTTGCAGATTCTTTTGATACTGGACCCCTTAAGATAAGAGAGTGTGCCTTATTTTGGTTTCTGGAGAGTAGACTAGTGGGTAATTCCAGATAAGGCAGATAGGCTTGGTCCCTTCCTTCTTCACTTCCGATCGCTCTGCTCTTATTGGTTTCCCAGGACCTCTGGGGAGCTCGGGTTTTCCTCCCTACCCAGGACTTGCAGGACTGGGGAGCCTGGGTCTGCTGCACTTCACATGTACACACTTGTTAAGAGGTACAAAGGCATTCAAGGTTGGCCTAGGCTGTCACTGATGAATAATTCATGGTGGCTTCATGTGCTATAAAATTTTCTCCTGTAATTGAGCATTATTTTGAAAGACCGTGCTCATTTAAAAGTCTGGTAATGGAGTTTTGTATTCTTTAGCAATCTGCCTTAGACATTTACTAATGTCTAAGGAAGACAAAAGTTGACAAACATCAGAACAATAAAATTTAAAGCTGACAATAGCCCCACGTGGGCAGTAAACCAAGAACTCTGCTCCGACTTTTCTTCCCCGGTTCTTTATAAACAGCAGCATCATCTGATGTTTACAAAAGATTCTTTGACACTCTCTGGGTTCTCCTCAAAGATAGAATCTGAATTTCAGTAACAACATTATGTGCATTGATTAGAATTCGTTAATGTAGTACTGTATTTAGAGGCAAAAACTATGATTCTATGACTTGCCTAACTGAAAGGGGTCTTAGTGATAAAAGTAGAAGGTCTCAAGATGTCTATATGTCTCTGTTTAAATAAATTTGAAGTCCTCTGTTTTTCCTGGCACTGTAGAGAGAATGGCTTTTAGTTTGGATTTCCAGGAAAGACAGGGCTGGTTTTGGAAAAAATCTCACATGGGAGAGAGACTAAGTAAATAGAGTAAGCCATATATCTAATTATATTTTCAGTGGCCAAACCAGCAAGAAAAATTTCATTTATTTTCCTCACTTTTTACTACTCTCCTCCATTCTACTCCAGGGCATATTTTTAAGGTATTTGGAGTCTTTCTACTTGCTGCCAGCTGGAATCTACAGAATGTGCATCTCTAGAACACTCAACAGTTGATTTGAATCTCAGTCATAATTAAATTGGAAGTTGGCAAATTATTTTGAGACTTAAAAACAGGCACACCTTATGTTTGGAACAGAAGGGGTTTCACTACTCTGTATTGTTTTAAAAGTATTCTCTGTAGGGAATATTGACAATACATTTTAATTAACTTTTTTTTAAAATGGAAGGATATATAATAAACAAGTCTCACCATGCTTACATTTTATTTCTTATTCTCAGTAACTGATTCCCTGATGTTTTGAAACAACAATAAACCTTGCAGCTGCTCATCTATCCCTTTTTAACAAGAGTAAATTACCCCATCCTTTCTCTCCTGGCATACCTTGAAAGCATTGGCTAGTTAGGTAGCTACTCTAGAGGATATACTTAGAGCTAGTGTTTGCATACAATTAATAGTAATTTAGGCATATGAGCTATCCAGCCTTCTGTTTTATATTAAAATCTGACTGCTGGCACATGCATCATTAACATACCTTAAAGGTTGGGGTGATAGCCAGGATAGCAATTCAGAATATTGGGACTTAACAAGATGTATCACTAAGTGTCATTCATTTCCAAAAAGGGGAAAAAATGCAATGTGTTGATTAGCACTCCTTTTAGGGTTCATACAAGAGAATGGAAATGCTGGACAGGTTTTTCTGCTTTCAGAGGCAGTCACAGCTGCGTCTGCAAATCAGCTCTGCCAAAGTCGGTGACCAGTGGGTCAATCAGAGCATGACATTGCCAGGAACGTGCCTGAGGGGTGAGAGCAGGCAGCAGCCCTGGAGCATTGGGCACTGGGTTTCCACAAAACAGTCAACAACAACAGAATGGGTTTGGATGGCTTCTGCCTGAGTTGCACACTCCCAGGGCTTGTGACCACACCAAGGGACCTTGAAGATCTTAATGGTATAGAAACTCCCCTAGGCTGGTATTACTCATCTTTATAATATTTTGCATGGGAAACATATGTCATGCTGACATGTGAGTTGGAGTGGTGTAGAGAGTTGGAATGGGATGTAGGATACACAGTGATCTTGGGGAAAAGTCAGCATTTAATGGAGTAGTATTATTTTGTGGGATACACATCTCTTTTGATTATTTTTAAATGGTTTAAATAGCCTACTGCCCCCATTTTTCATATATAAGGTGATGGTGGCTGTATGACTACCTCAGTGCACATACAGACTCATGAATTTCACCAGCCAATTCACTTGTAAGGCTCTTGGCCTCACATCTTTTTTTTTTTTTTTTTTTTTTTTTTTTTTTTTTTTTTTTTTTTTTTTTAAAAAACATTCCTTTTTTTAACTGGGTGGTTTGTCATATATTTTTAGGAAAGTCTAGGCTTCTAGTTATACACGCCATTTTCCTCCCGAGTAGCTGGGACTACAGGCATGCGCCACCATGCCCGGCTAATTTTTTATATATATATCAGTTGGCCAATTAAATTCTTTCTATTTATAGTAGAGACGGGGTCTCGCTCTTGCTCAGGCTGGTTTTGAACTCCTGACCTTGAGCAATCCGCCCGCGTCGGCCTCCCAAGAGCTAGGATTACAGGCGTGAGCCACAGCGCCCGGCCTTGGCCTCACATCTTTATTATTATTACTATTTTCGACTTTAAAGTTACTGTCACTATACTAGTCTGTCTCTAACTGGCAGCTTCATCTGGGAGAGTCTGCTGATGGGTCACACCCTGGACTTGGCCTTAGAGCTGTTCATTACCATTGTTAGTTATAATTAATTTACTAAGCACCTTTCGACAGGTGGCAGGCACTGTGCTAGGTACGGATCAGCATAAATCTCTGTCATTTAGAATTTATAATCTTGGAAGCTCCACTGGCATGTATGGGCCAAAGATATGCCGGGCAGCTAACCAACACGAGGCATTATGTGATGACTCTGAGCAGAGTGAAGGATGCAAATAAATGATGTGAGAGGTCGTAGTAACCTAAAGAAGTCACCTAAGGTAGTCACCTAAAGAAGTTAGGATGGTGACTAGGGAATGCCTGGAGGCTCCTTGGGATATAGGTGACCCCGCTGGTAACAAGGGCCAAATGTGACCATGGGTCACTTCTCACATTGGCTCCAGTATGAGGAAAGGTGTCTCTTGTCCTCAGGAGCCACTTCTGCCCCTCCCCACTGCCAGAGCCACTGGGGACTGGGGATTTATTTTCCCCTTGCTACCATGACTGTTCTTTGGTGAATTTCTAAGTTATTTTCTTAATATAAATGTACAGTTGTGGATGTGTAGAAGGAAAGCATCGTCCTTTTGAACCCAATATACTGGCTAAGTGCTCGAGCTCTAAGAGTGGAGAGATTGAGTTTAAATCACAGCTTTAATACCTACTAGCTGTGTAACTTTGGGCAAGTTTCTTAATTTCTCTGAGCCTCAGGTTCCACATCTATAAAACAGAGGTGACAATACTATCTGCTTTGTAAGATTGTAAGGATTAAACGAGAATATCTATAAAACTCAGGGCACAGTGCCTCCTCACACATCATAATGAATGGGTTATATAATTAGTAATTATAGTTCCGTCTGAGAGATTCAGATTCTTGCAAATTATTTATATTGTAGAACAGTGCTATGGAATCCAAGGCCTTGATTCTAGTTTGGCTACTTTATCTTACTTTTATGTGTGTGTTTTGTTTTCTTTATTTTTAATTATACAAATCATGCAAGAATAAGCTTTTTTTTTTTTTTTTTTTTTTGAGACAGAGTCTTGCTTTGTTGCCCAGGCTAGAGTGAGTGCCATGGCATCAACCTAGCTCACAGCAAACTCCAACTCCTGGGCTCAAGCAATCCTCCTGCCTCAGCCTCCCGAGTAGCTGGGACTACAGGCATGCGCCACCATGCCCGGCTAATTTTTTCTATATATATATTAGTTGCCCAATTAATTTCTTTCTATTTATAGTAGAGACGGGGTCTCGCTCTTACTCAGGCTGGTTTCGAACTCCTGACCTCGAGTGATCCGCATGCCTCGGCCTCCCAGAGTGCTAGGATTACAGGTGTGAACCACTGTGTCCGACCAAGAAGAAACTTTTGTTGTAAAAATTTCAAACAGTGCATGAGAGGTAAAACCTCACCTTGCCCACCATCCAAACCTAGGGGGCAACTGCTATGATCACTTTTATTTAGTTAGTTTATTTTCATCAAAGTAATGCATGTTTCTAGCTTTAAAAGTCAAAGAATGTCTTGTCCCATGAATGGAGACAAAGGAATGAGATAGCTGAGGAGTGTAGAGTTTTTTTGGCGTGACTTCCTAAGATTACCAAAACTGTGGCCTTTCTGTTACAAAATGTGGCCTTCCTAAATGAGACTTTTTGCATGTTTATATCCCATGGTTAAATAAACTTGAAGTCA